AGAGCCCAACAAGGTCGCCCACCCACCCAGGTCCTGCACCCAGGCTCCCACCTACAGACAGAGGCCCTGAGAGCCCAACAAGGTCTCCACACCATCCAGGTCCTGCACCCAGGCTCCCACCTACAGACAGAGGTCCAGAGAGCCCAACAAGGTCGCCCACCCACCCAGGTCCTGCACCCAGGCTCCCACCTACAGACAGAGGCCCAGAGAGCCCAACAAGGTCGCCCACCCAGGTCCTGCACCCAGGCTCCCACCTACAGACAGAGGTCCAGAGAGCACAACAAGGTCGCCCACCCACCCAGGTCCTGCACCCAGGCTCCCACCTACAGACAGAGGCCCAGAGAGCCCAACAAGGTCGCCCACCCACCCAGGTCCTGCACCCAGGCTCCCACCTACAGACAGAGGCCCAGAGAGCCCAACAAGGTCGCCACACCATCCAGGCTTGCACCCAGGCTCCCACCTACAGACAGAGGTCCAGAGAGCCCAACAAGGTCGCCCACCCACCCAGGTCCTGCACCCAGGCTCCCACCTACAGACAGAGGCCCAGAGAGCCCAACAAGGTCGCCCACCCACCCAGGTCCTGCACCCAGACTCCCACCTACAGACAGAGGTCCAGAGAGCCCAACAAGGTCGCCACACCATCCAGGCTTGCACCCAGACTCCCACCTACAGACAGAGGTCCCAGAGAGCACGACAAGGTCACCTACCCACCCAGGTCCTGCACCCAGGCTCCCACCTACAGACAGAGGCCCCAGAGAGCCCAACAAGGTCACCCACCCAGGTCCTGCACCCAGGCTCCCACCTACAGACAGAGGCCCCAGAGAGCCCAACAAGGTTGCCACACCATCCAGGTCCTGCACCCAGACTCCCACCTACAGACAGAGGTCCAGAGAGCCCAACAAGGTCGCCACACCATCCAGGTCCTGCACCCAGACTCCCACCTACAGACAGAGGCCCAGAGAGCCCAACAAGGTCGCCCACCCACCCAGGTCCTGCACCCAGACTCTCACCTACAGACAGAGGTCCCAGAGAGCCCAACAAGGTCACCCACCCACCCAGGTCCTGCACCCAGACTCCCACCTACAGACAGAGGTCCAGAGAGCCCAACAAGGTCGCCACACCATCCAGGCTTGCACCCAGACTCCCACCTACAGACAGAGGTCCCAGAGAGCCCAACAAGGTCACCCACCCACCCAGGTCCTGCACCCAGGCTCCCACCTACAGACAGAGGCCCCAGAGAGCCCAACAAGGTCGCCCACCCACCCAGGTCCTGCACCCAGGCTCCCACCTACAGACAGAGGCCCAGAGAGCACGACAAGGTCGCCACACCATCCAGGCTTGCACCCAGGCTCCCACCTACAGACAGAGGCCCAGAGAGCCCAACAAGGTTGCCACACCATCCAGGTCCTGCACCCAGACTCCCACCTACAGACAGAGGTCCAGAGAGCATAACAAGGTCGCCACACCATCCAGGCTTGCACCCAGGCTCCCACCTACAGACAGAGGCCCCAGAGAGCCCGAAGCAGGGTCTGGGTGAACACTGTCCATGGAGCTCTCCTGGCAGCAGGAACACGCGACAGGAATAGAGTCACACTGTGGACACCAGCAAAATGGTGCTGAACCTTGAGGGCAGAGGTCTAGGATATGCCACAACAGAGATGGGCCTCAGGACACCAGTCTACGAAGTAAGCCCCCTGCAAAAAGACCAGCGTGGTGCAAGTCCACCTAGCGAGCAGATAGAAAAGAGAACGCTGGCTGCCAGGGCTGGGGAGGGGGAGTCAGTGCTCCACAGACAGAGCTTCCGTCTTTCCAGACCAAGAGCTGTGGAGACGACGGTGCTGCTCAACACCACTGTGTAGACTCCACAGCTGGTTCTCAGAGTGGTTCGGACAGACACAGGGTGGCTCCGTGCAGGTCGCCTGCCCCCATGTGTGAGGCCCTGGTCTCCTCACCCAGCACCACCAAAAAACAGAAGTTAAGGCGGCCAGGTACAGCAGCCCACACTGGCTGTCCCAGTGACTCAGAAGGAAGAGATGGGAGGATTCAAGTTTGAGGCCAGCCTGGGCAATGTGGAGACTCTGTTTCAAGACAAAATGTTTTTAAAAATTAAAAAAAAAAAGGGCTGGGGATGCAGCTCAGAGGCAGAGCATCTCTGGGTTCAATCACCAGGAGTGAAAAAATTAGAAAGTGGTTAAGATACAAAATTTCATGTTCTACGTATTTCACTGCAAGAAAAAAAACTTTTTAAAAGTAGATCCATGCAATTGTCTATATTCAAAAACCATAAAAGAAAAACCATATGAGTATTTCATTAAATCAAAAAAATGATAAAAACTTTCAGAAAATTAAAAAGGAACCTTGATCAACCTGTTGAAGGAATCTACAAAAAATCTATAATTAATATCAAAACTGAAAAATATAAAACCAAATGCTTTTTCACACTTGGCATTTCGATTAACATAGACTAGAAGCCTACACACCAAAATACAGCAAGAAAAACAAATAAAAGGCATGCAGTTTAGAAAGAAAATACAATAATGTCTTTATTCATAAATAATAAGATCATGCATATAGAAAATCTTAAGGATTCTACCAAAAACTGCTATTAGAACTAATCTGAGACTAATATAAGGTCCACATGAAACATCAACGGTATTTCTAGAGTCTAACAAAAAATAATTGGGAAAAATGTTAAATTTTTTACAACTGCATTAAAACGTGTTTTGAAATAACAAAATATATGTAATACTGGGCTGGGGTTGTGGCTCAGTGATAGAGTGCCTGCCTGGCATGTGTGAGGCACTGGGTTTGATCCTCAGCACCACATAAAAATAAATAAATAAAAATAAAGGTTTTATGTCCATCTACATCTAAGAAAAAAAAATTTAAATATAGGCAATATCTATACACTGGAACAACTGAAATACTCACTGACTGGAACACATGACACTGTGAAGATGCTGATCCCCAGAGCTGGGGACATAGCTCAGTTGGGAGAGGGCTTGCCTCACATGCACAAGGCCCTGGGTTCAATCCCCAGCACCACAGGGGGAAAAAAAAAAAAGATGCCAATTCCCCTTAAACTGGTGTAAGGATTTAAAGAAATATCAGCAAATAGCTCCACAGAAATTTTTGTGGAAACGATAAACTGATTTTTTTATATTTTAAAATACAAAAAAGCTGGAACAACTAAAACACTTCATAAATGAAAAGCACAGTTGGAGGACACAAGCTACACAACATCTTGAATTTTCATAGCACCACGATAGTGGTATGGCTTTCATAAATCTACAGGAGTTACTTGGTGTCACAGGAATTGGTATGAGTTGGTGATCTTTATGATAAATGCATCAGGACAGCCAGACATCCAAAAACAAGAATGTGAACATTTTGATTCATACCTCTTACTTCTGCTAAAATTACCTCGAAATGAATGCAAAATTGAAAACTATAAAATTCTAAAAGTAAATAGAGGGGAAAAGCTTTATGACCTTGCGTTAGGCAAAGACGCCTTAGATAAGGCACAAGAACACAATCTATAAAAGCAAAAATTAGTAAAAAAAAAAAAAAAAAAAACAACAAGCCACAGACTGGGAAAAAAATATAAATGATAAACCTGAATTTTGTATACAGAATATATAAAGAACCCCGAAAATTCAATAAAAAAACAAAAAACAAACTTTTTTAAGGCAAAAGTTTTAACACTTTTCCTAAAAAAATACACAGATAGAAAATAAGCATATGAAAACATTTTTAACACACTATCATCAGTGGTTACGGAAACGAAAATTAGAACTGTGGTGAAATTCCCCACATGCCTGCTGCTAGAGATGCAGAGGAAGGAGAATGGGACAAGCACTTTGGAAAACAGCTTGGCAATTTCTTAAAACGTCACACACACCCCTGGAGGTCACTCAGCCTTCCACTCTCTAAGAACCTGCACTCAAGAAGTGAGAACACACGTGCACACACACTCAGGCAGATGAGCACCACGGCACCTTCACTGGAGGTAGAGACAGCTGTGGTGCACTCCGGGGACACACTGCTCGAGGACTGCCAGGGTCAGCTGGCACCATCACTGACAAGCAAGAGCCAGACAGTAGAGAGTAGATATTATCGTTCAACTTACATAAAACTCCAGAAAACAAGACCAATCTATGGTGTCAGGAAGTGAATCAGAGGTTCCTGGGTGGCGGGGACACAAAGGGCAGCAGCTGGACATGAGACTGCTGGACACACCCATAGCATTTGGATATCTTGAACTTCTAAAACTGCACACGCTGAAAGAGGGCAGTTCATTCTATGCTGATTTTTATCTCAATTAAGGTCTTAAAGGTTTTAAATGTAAAGAGAGATAAATCACATTAAAACATGTTCAATCAAGTACCCCTCTCTGCGTTGACTCAGCCTTTTTCTTTTGCACTATGAAGAAAATGAAAACCTCAACGTAAAGTGACCTTCTGTTAGGAGCACCGAAATAGCAGGAGAGTCTGCGATCTGAGATCCTCTGTTTTCTCTGATTTAAGTTGGTACTTTGGGGAAAAAACTTGACATGACTTTTTTTAAAAAAATACTAGAAATAGTTTCAAAAAGAAATGGTCTGTACGAGGGCCTTCTGAGAGCCGCTGGGAAACAGCACCAGGCACTGGCCTTGGGTGCTGTGGAGGGAAGCGGCACTCACAGAGGCTGCCGAGACCTGCCCAGCCAATTCACACATGCGTGCCAACAGCTGCACACTACCCACTGCAGGTCTCACTCCTCAACATCCAGCCCAAGTTGTGAGGTTTCCCCTCCTACTCTCCTTCTTTCCCATCTTACCAACTTCACACCAAGTGATTTTCTGTGGGAACAGTCACACCCACACTCTTTTACCTTTACTCATGAGTGAGTGAGAGCTGATGGCTGGCTGGGCTTGCTGGGGGAGCACAGTGAAGCTGGGCTCCACACCAGAGTGATATCCTGTGCTTGTTCTTTCAGAAGGAGAAGATGAATGTGCTCACCATCTGCTGTTTCCAGGATGCTCCCGCCGTACCCCCGAGGAGCAGCTCTCACAGAAGCCACCTGGGGACGTTCATAGTGCGGACGGTCCACGAGGCCTGTGGTGACGTCAGGAGGGGCAGAGTGCAGATCTGCTTTTGAAATGAAGACGAGGTGGCTGTTAGTTCTGAGGAGCACATACTGCTGATCAACCCACCGTCAGATGCTGCCCCCAGCCAAGCCCACATGGAGCCTGACTGATTCTGCTCCCAGCTGCCCACAGCACAAGACTCTGTGAGTGCCCAGATATCACGAGCAACAGTGGTGGAGGCTCAATTCTCAGAGGGATCCAGACCTCAAACCAAGACTACAGCACAGAGATAGGCACGCAGCAACTGGCCAGTGACCACTGCAACCTAATAGGAGTCAGAATTCTCCCTCGAGGGAGCCAGACAAACCTGAGCTCACGTGTCAAGAGAACATTTCACAATGTCAGCCACACATCTGTAACCTATTAACCACCAAAAAGTATGCCAGAGTTACAAAGACCCCACCATCACAGGCCTCAAAGGATAAAACTAAAAAATGTCTGCGATGAGCTGGGCATGGTGGCACATGCCTGGGACCCCAACAACCTGAGAAGCCAAGGCAAGAGGACTCAAAGCTCCAGCCCAGGAGGCGGGGCAAAATCCCATCTCAAAAACAAAACCACAAATGAAAAACAAGGCTGCAATACCATGTGACCCAAACAGCTGCTTAAAGTAAAAAGGGTCACTGTCACATTTAAAGACTAAGATGGGAAATACAAAATGCTTCAAGCACCCCATCCTTGTCGTGTATCCCTCACGGTGCACTTGCCACCTCTGTGGAAGGAAAGGCACTGCACCAGAAGGACAACAGACACTGGCCTCCTGCAGCACCGAGCAGCAGACACTATTCCAGAGTCCAGGTCTGCTGACCAGGGCAGCGATGGCCTTGGGCTGGTCTCTGGTCAGTGGCTGACCAGGGCAGCGATGGCCTTGGGCTGGTCTCTGATCAGTGGCTGACCAGGGCAGCGATGGCCTTAGGCTGGTCTCTGGTCAGTGGCTGTGCTAAGGGTGCTCTCCAGCATTCCAGCTCACTAGCGCTAACCTTCTGCCAGCTACTACTTCCTTATGAGGAAAGACCAGATGGGAGTTGTTTACATGACAGAATTTAGACAGCCAGACACACTTGATCTTAGCCAAAAGGCCGAGAAGCGATAGACAGCCAGACACAAACCCACTCTTCATGCCACAGAACGTGCCATGTGGGAAGACCTACAGCTCTCATGACATCGTCTCACAGCCCTTCAAAGAGTGTGACACTGAGCAGACAAACATTTTAGAGCATGCCAGTCAGTAGGTTCTCTGAGTTCAAAAAGAAATTTCCTTGCTGTAAAATCTAGCAAAAATAAGTGATTTAAAAATACACATGAAAAGCAAGGCATATGTGGTAACGTATCCATTATAGGTAGTTTTTTAAATAGCCACATAAACTACTCAAAAATGAACTACTATAACGAAAAGTACTGCTTTTAAATATGTGTTTACATTTGTGTCAAAATATTTAACATGGGGCTGGGGTTGTGGCTCAGCGGTAGAGCACTCGCCTAGCACGAGCGAGGCCCTGGGTTCAATCCTCAGCACCATGTAAAAATAAATAAATAAAATAAAGCCTTAAAAATATATTTAATGTATTTGATTTCCTTAATCTGAAACTAGTGAGGTGCAGTGGCACATGCCTATAATCCCAGGGATTTGGGAAGCTAAGGCAGCAAGATCACAATTTCAAGGCCGGCCTCAGCAATTTAGCAAGGCCAGAAGCAACTTAGTAAAAACCTGTCTCAAAAAAATTAAATTAAATTAATAAATAAAGGGGGGCTGGGGATGTAGCTCAGTGTATGCTCCCCTGGGATCAATCCCTGATACCAAGAGGAAAACAACAAACAAACTTTTTTTAAATTACCTTTACCTAAGATGTTCTCATCAAATTTTTTTACTGAATATATTCTTCCTCTTTCCAGATTTCTCTCCTCAGTTCAAACTAAAGAATATCTAGTGTTAAAAATAGAGAAAGGATGCTTCCGCAACAAGAGGAGGGAAGGCCAGGTGCAGACTCAACATCCAGTAGCCCAAGGCGGGGACCAGTGCCTCCTGGGAGCGGAGCTTTCCTGGATCTTGGAACATCTGCCTACAGGACTGGTTGGACCTTCCTAACCCCGAAGTCAAAACCCAAAACGCTCCCGCGTGGCACTCAAAGTCTCAGATTTCAGAGCATTTAAGATTTCTATTTTCAGATTACAGAAACTTAACTTGTACTTTGAGATTTAGAATAAAAGTAAAAATGTTCCCAGAAAGCCACAGAGACAAGGAGGGCAGGCTGCCCTTCACAGGAGCACCCGCAGCCCCTCTGTGTGTGGAAAGCATGACGTGGGGGCCAGCTGCTCTCTGACTCACATCACAGTGGCATGACCCTCTTCAGCAGGAATACACAGACCAAGAAGAAATGCAGAGCAACTCTGACCAGCCCCACAGAGGGACACTAAGAACCCCACCCACCTCCAGTGCAGCCAACTGACCATGCTTACAGGTAAGAGCGTCTCAGCACACAGGCCCAGAACTGCCTGGACCAGACCACCTATCACGGGTGTACCACAGGTGCTCCCGTTTCAGTTTCAGCAGAAAAGCAAAGAAAATGAAGAGGATCAAAAAACCTGGGGCCAGAGCTGGGATTGTGACTCAGCAGTAGAACAGTCGCCTAGTGTGGGCGGGACCCGGGTTCGAATCTCAGCACCACATAAAAATAAAGGCATTGTGTTGTGTCCATCTACACCTAAAAAAATAGATATAAAAAAAAAACCCAGGGCCAGCTCTGGCTCCCCACTGAGCAGCCAAGTATTGTCAAGAAGTTATAAACACCTCACTTTCTGTCTTCCTTCCTCTAGAAAATGAGGTCACCAGGAATCTCCAGCAATACCGCCTGCCTGTCTAGGCACCAAAGCAAGAGTGTTCGGGGACCACATGCCAGCCGCATGCCACTGTCTTTGTTTAAGCAGGATGTCACGTTTTTCCTCCCTGAGTGTGATCTGAAGTGCGTGATTTGGAAGAGATCCAGGCATTTTCATGATCAGCTTTGACTGGCACCTTGATTTCAGCTGAGGGGCGCCCGGAGGAAGAAAGGCCATCATAGCCACAGCCCTGGCCCCCGCCTCAGGACCTCACCTGCTCATACATGCCATGAGGAAAGGCAGCCAGCCCAACGGGGCTGTGACAACCACAGCAGGCAGGTGACACAGAGCAGGGGTGGGGGTGGAGGATGCCCACATGCCCCAAGAATCGGGCTGCCAGCTCCCAGAGCACAGAACTACTTCGGCGACCGAGGACACCTCTCGGGGGAGAAGAGGTGGGTTTCTGAGCAACCAGGCCTACCGTTCAACAAGTACAGGGTTTGATCTGGAAGCCAAACTGGCCAGGAATCGTCCCCGCTCCTGTCAGGGTCATCACTGCAAGCTCAACACCAGATGGCATTTCAGGCAGACAGGCACCGTGACCTCTGGCTGCAGGAGCCCGGCTGTCTGTGGAAGGTGGCACAGCCCCACTGCCCTCCACCTGCGGGCCAGGGGAGCGCCTCCATCCTGGGCGCGCCTGACCCTGCCCTGCTGCGGCCATGGCCACGGCAGCTGGTTACTGACCTATGTGGGCGTGGGCTGCAAGGTCTGAGAGCGCGGCGGCGGGTCTGCCTCCCGGGTGAGATGAGGTGGAGGATGCGGAAGATGAGGTGGAGGAGCCCTGAATGACCCGGTCGAGCCAGGGCTCTGCACCGGGGTGGCTCTGGAGCACAGTGGAGCTGAGCTGCCCGGGCCGCTGCACAGAGCCCTCGTCTTCTGAAGCGGACGATGTGTCTGCGGTGAAAACAACCACGACAGGCATGACGCAGGGTGGGTGAGAGGGTGGCTTCCCACGGGCCAGCCCAGAGGGTGCCGGACACCCAGGCCGCTCCTCCTAAGGGCATGTGAGGAGGCTGAGGGGAAGTGCTCTAGGAGTCCCACTCCTAGAGGCCCTGGCCACTGGCGCATACTGGGGTGAAATGGGCCTCTCTGCCTGAGCACGTCACTGCTGCCCGCCCACATGGCCACACTCCAGGGCAAGGCAGGCCAGCCTGCAGAGCCACAGCACTGGGGCGGCCTGGGGGCTACACCCTGTCCACCTATGTCCTTGCAGGCAGATCACATGAAGTAGCTCTAGAAAGAGCTCTGTCAGTGAATTAACTGTGGACAGCAGTCTGTCGGGTCAGCACAACCACACTCACGGGTTCACAGTTGTCAAAAGTCTTTGGCAACGACACAGTGTCCACACCTCTGCCCAGTAGAAATAATCTGACAGCAAATCCTAAGATATTTTCCGACAATAAAGGTTAAGCACAGAATCACCACTGAACCACTGAGTAGTCTCGTGATCTGAGGTGTCTGGTTTTTCCCTATGATTCCAGATTCATCAAACCAAACATGAGTGTCATGAGGGCAGCCACAGAAGCTCATGAATGGGAAGCCACCAGCCCCTCAAACTTCGGTCAGGGTTAGTGGGAAGTTAGACAAACCCCATCTACAACTTTTAATTTCTCATGGAAACAGCAAGAAAACAACAAAAAATTACTAGAACTGTCCAAATAGTCCTCAACTGTCCCTCTGAAGTCCTGGTAACAACATACCAAATGACAGTGACAAGATGAGAATAATTGAGCTTTTGTATTTTACTAAGTGCTTATTTAAGGTTCTTCTCTTCACCCCCAATATTAATAGTATCTTGAGTTTTTTTAAACAAAAGAAACTAAAATCCTCACACAAAGTGCTGCAGAGAGGAAAGGCAACTTTAGATTTTCTTTTCAAGATCTATAGCTGAGAAATTTATAAGTATTATGCTTATTTTGAAATTATTTTTAGATCTAAAGAACTCAGCTCAAAAATAGAAATTGTCAATGTTAAACTGAATTGTATTAAGTTAGTAGGTATTATGTACAGAGTCTCTTATTTACCATTTCCATTCTTATGTTGGTTGTACCTGTGGATGTCACTGAGAAAGTTTAAAGATTGCACATTTGAAACAAATGCTCTTTACAAATAGTTAGATTTTTTTTTTAAGAGAGAGAGAGAATTTTTCAATATTTATTTTTTAGTTCTCGGCGGACACAACATCTTTATTTTATTTTTATGTGGTGCTGAGGATCAAACCCAGCGCCCCACGCATGCCAGGGGAGCGCGTTACCGCTTGAGCCACATCCCCAGCCCCACAGATAGTTAGATTTTAAAGGGAAAACGAGATCATTGTGCTGTGATTTTATCCAGGATGTGAGAAAAAAATATTACCCTTGGGCTGGGGTTGTAGCTCGGTGGTAGAGCACTTGCCTAGAACGTGCAAGGCCCTGGTTTTGATCCTCAGCACCACATAAAAATAAGTAAATAAAATCAAGATACTGCATCCAGCTACAACTAAAAAATAAAATTTTGAAAAAAAAATATTATCCTTGGAGCTTTTTTCCCTTGCTGCACAAATAATTGTGAACCATTTTAAGTGACTTAAACTATAAACCAAACAGTACAACCTGCTAAGATGACCCTGCATTGCAAGTTATGTAAATAAGATTGCTGAAGCTTTAGATGAAAGCTAAAGAATTGTTGGATTCTCATTGTATGACTACAATAATTATAACCTTTCAGAAGAGATTCTTCTAACCTGAAAACATCTATGAACTGAATTTTAGAAAATAAGTATATTAATTAGTTATTTTGAAAGATACCAAATGCAAAAGTTGCAGATCTATATAAGTTAATAAGTTCATATACTCCACATGAATGTAAGTGTGTTATATGGAGATTTGTCTTGTAAACAGTTGAATGTACCTAAATTTTCTGCATGTGAAAAATGTGGTTAATGTGCTTATTACAGGGATAAGTAAACTTTCAGTTTTAAAATGGGAAAAAAAAAAAAAAAGTGCTGCAGAGTACGCGTGTCCCCATGGGAAGAACAGTGCCGTGCACATCACAGACACACCATAGCATGCTTACTAAGTTCCCCAAATCTGTGCTCCAAACAGAGGGACATTCCAGCTCAGGGGATCAAACACCAGGCCTCAAGCCCACTCCCAAGACCACCCATCAATACCTGGGGGGGTGTAGGCATCCACGGAGGAGTGCGCCAGGACGGAACGTCTCTTCGAGGGCATCGGCATCCTCCTCTCTTTGTACTTGGCCAGGGCTGCTTGCACGGCCTCCGTGTGGACATCTACAGAGAGAGCAATGGCAGAAAGGCTTTGACAAGACAAGACTCTACTGTCCTCATGGCTCGCGAAGGGGACAAATCTCTGACTGCCTAACCATCCTACACTTTTCTAAACAGGAACCAGAACAATATATCCATAGTTATAAATTAAAACAACAACCGAAGAAAAATCCCCAAATTTGAAAATAAAGTGAAAGAGATAAGCCTGAACAAATCTCTGCCGTGAGAACCAGCACTGAGACTCGCCAGCCTGCTCCTCCAGAAGACCCACTGCAGACACAGAGAACTGCTTAGAAAACTTCAAGCTCTCGCACGCTGCAGCCAGTGGTGAGAGAGCTATAACACAGGTGTCTTCTAGGTTGAGGGGCCTTGCACGTCTGCCCAGCTCCTGAGCGGGAGGCCATACAAGTGCAGACCAGAGCGCAGATCAACCTGGGACTGCTGCTTTGAAAAGCTCCAACCTGCCGGACAGGCACAAGCCATCAGCACAGTGACTCGGGAGCTGGGACAGGAGGGTCACAAGCTCAAGGCCAGCCTGGCAACTTAGAGAAACCCTGTCTCAAAATAAAAATTAAAGGGCTGGGGGTACAGCTCAGAGGTAGAGCATCCTGGGTTCCATCCCCAGCACCACGAAACAAAACAAAAGGAAGAATGTCTCACCTCTGTGCACTAAAAATGTCTAAAACAGCCACCAGCCCGACAGCCTCGGCATCATTTTGAAACCTCCCCCTCACCACAGGGTCACTGAGAATCATCAGCTCTGGGGCAGGGGAGGAGCACCTCACCCTAACAGACTTGGGCAAGCCACGAAGACCACACAAGGCCGATTCAAGAGTCCCCAGGGGCCAGGATGGGCAGATAATATCACAGATGTATACTCAGGAAAGGTGAAGAAAGGAGAGGAAAAGAGGAAACAGAATTCTCAGGCAGCCATGGAGGAGGCCAGTACCCACCCACTGTTTCAAAAACTGGCGATAAATGGAGAGAATCCACATGCACCCTGACCTTCCTGTGCCAGCCAGTAACTGAGGGGAAGTTCACCGTCAGAGGCCATTCAGGCCTCTGAGTAAGGAGCAACGGGATGCCCTTCATCATTCCACAGCCCTGAGGAATCAGAGCCAGGGACCAAGCACAGCTCTGGCTTCTGCTTCACAGTGAAGAACAAGACGGACTCCACAGAGCCAACAGACACACTGCCAGGCTGCATCGGCTGCCAACCAGGGAAGACCAGAAACTTGCCAACCACCGGCCACATGCACATCTCACCTGGGTCCTGGATCCAAACAAACTTTAAAAAAGGAAATGAACACTGTCTGAATACTTGATATTAAGGAATTACTGCTGAACACTGTTGGATATTTGACATTAAGGAATAGTGACTATTCATTACTTTGTAATAATGCCATTTCTTTTAGAAATACATACAGCAATACTCCCTACCTGTGGTTTCACTTTGAATAATCAACTGTGGCCTAAAAATATCACGTGGAAAATTCCAGAAATAAAACACTCAATTTTTAAATTGCATGCTCTTCTTCACAGCATGATGAAATCTCACACCACTGTGTTCCACCTTGCCCAGGTCATGAATCACTCCTCTGTCTAGTGTATCCATGCTGTATATGCTACCCACCATAGGTTACATAGTGGCCGCCTCAGTTATCACATGGACTGCTATGGTATCACAGTGCTGGAATACAAGCAACCCTTGTTTTATTTACTAATGGCCCCAGAGTACAAGAGTAGTGATCCTGTAATTCGAATATGCTAAAGAGAAGCTGTAAAGGGTTTCTTATAAGTGAAAAGGTAGAAGTTCTTAACAGGAAAAGAAAAAGAATCAGGAAAGATGGTGGAATAAGATAAACATCATTACCCAAAGTACATGTAGGAAGACATGAATGGTGTGACTCTACTTTGTGTAGAACCAGAGACATGAAAAATTGTGCTCTATATATGTATTATGAATTGAAATGCATTCCGCTGCAATGCATAACAAATTAGAATAAATAAATTTAAAAGAAAAAGAATCATACACTGAGATATATGATGAGAATAAGATATATGATGAGAATCAACCTTCCAGTACCCAACCCACTATTTTGAAAATGGGAAAAAAAATTGAAAGAATCCAGAATGTACTGGAAGGAAAAGAAATTCATGACTATTTTGCCATCATATCTCAAACTTGTTTAAAAGTCATAGCCATGGTATGTGGCAATTAGGGATGAAACAGGCAGGCCTCAGCTGGGTGAGGTGGAGCACAGCTGTCATCCCAGGCACCAGGAGCCTGAGGCAGGATCACAAGTCCAAGGCCAGCCTCAGCAACACAGAGAGGCCCCTAGCAATTTAATGAGATCCTGTCTCAAATAAAAAGGGCTAAAACATGACTCACTGGTAAAGCACCCTCAGATTCAATCTTCAGTACCAAAAAAAAAAAGGATAAAACAGATGCTAAATATGTGTAGAAAAACATGGCACAGGGCTAAGGTTGTGGCTCATCGGTGGAGCACTCACTTTTCATGTGTGAAGTACTGGATTCAGTTCTCAGCACCTCATATAAATTAAAAAAGGTTCAGCACACGCCATAGGTTCAGGCATCAACTGGGGGATCCTAATCAGTGCCCTGAGGATCCACAGCTAAGTGGTAAGGAGGAAAAACCTTAAAACTAACACCAATCCTCCTCAAATGATCCCATGAAATACAAAAGGAAGGAACCCTTCCAATTCATTCTTAATTCCTTTTAAGGTTCCAATGATAGTCTTCATGGAAACAGAAAAAGCAGTTATGAAATTCATTTGGAAAAATAAGGAGAAATCCTCAGTGAGAAAAGCAAAGCAGGAGGCATCCCAGTAGCACACCCTTAAACTACACCACAGAGCCACAGAAACAGCATGGGGCCGCACCAAGACAGAACGGAGACCAGTGGAATGCAAGACACTGGACAAAGGGGCCATAAGTAGTCACTGGAGAGAACAGAGCCTCTTCAACAAATGGTGCTGGGAAAACTGGAAACCCACATATAATAAAGTGAAACTAAACCCCTCGCTCTCACCACGCGTGAACTCAACTCAAAGTGGATGGAGGACTCAGGCATTAGACTGCAGACCCTGTGCCTACTAGAAGAAAATGTAAGCCCAACTTCCCAAAATGTCGGCTTAGGAACCAAATCTGTCAACAAGACTCCTAAAGCTCAAAGAAGTAAAACCAAGAATCAATAAATGGGATAGTATCAAACTTAAAAGCTCCTTCACAGCAAAGGAGACAATCAAGACAGTGAAGAAAGAGCCCACGGAATGGGAGAAAATCTTTGCCACCTGTACCTCAGATAGAGCATTAGTCTTCAGGATATATATATAAAAAAAGACTCAAAAAACTCAACTTCAAAAAAACCAAATAACCCAATCGATAAAGGGGCAAAGGCACTGAACAGACACTTCACAGAAGAAATACGAATGGTCAACAAACGTGAAAAAATGTTCAACATCTCTAACAACTGGAGAAATGCAAATTAAAACCACACTGAGATTCCATCTCACCCCAGTCAGAATGGCAACTATCAAGAATACAAGTAACAATAAATGTGGTGAGGATGTGGGGAAAATGGTTCACTCATACATTGCTGTTGGCACTGCAAATTGGTGCAACCACTCTGGAAAGCAGTATGGAGATTCCTCAGAAAACTTGGAATGGAACCACCATTTGACCCAGTTATCCCCCTCCTCGGTACATACCCAAAGGACTTAAAATCAGCACACTGCAGTGACACAACCACATCAATGTTCACAGCAGCTCAATTCACAATAGCTAAGCTACGGAACCAACCAGGTGCCCTTCAACAGATGAATGGATAAAGAACACGTGGCACATATACACAATGGAATATTACTCAACCATAAAGAAGAATGAAATCATGGCATTTGCCAGTAAATGATGGAACTGGAGACAATCATGCTAAGTGAAATAAGCCAGTCCTCAAAAACCAAAGGCCGACTGTTCTCTCTGACGTGCAGCTGCCAACACGTAATAAGGGGTGGGGCAGGGAAGAATAGAAGTTCATTGGATTAGACAAAGGGGAATGAAGGGAAGGAAGGAGGGATGGGAATAGGAAAGACAGAGGAATGAACTGGACGTAACTTTCCTATGTCACATATGGATAAATGACCAGTGTGACTCCACATCACTTTCAACCACAAGAATGGGGAGTTATGCTCTATACATGTATGATATGTCAAAATACATTCTATTATCATGTATATCTAAAAAAGAACAAATTTTTAAAAATTAAATAAAAATAAAATTTCTATGAGAAAAAAAACGAGAGAGACCTTGAGTCAGGCAAAGATTTCTTAGGAAGAACAAAAGTACTATGCACTGGGAGAAGTGGAACCTTAGGTCTCTTCAAAACCAACAGCACTTTAAGAAAATGCAGAGTCAACTAACCGCAGACTGGGAAAGGATCGCAAGTCCCACTGACGATAAAGGAGGAGGACAAAGCTCATGAGGGCAACGCGGAGGGCTGGGGTGAGGAAAGGGGGTGCAGGACCACGGTGCGGCTCCCAGCATAGGAGGCGTGTGGCTACGTGTGGACACCTGCACCCGGCTCGTGAGCTGCAGGGTGCGGCCACCTAAGGACTCACTGCAGGGGTTCACCTTTGTCACACTGGGAGTGTTAGATATTCCTGACATGACCACTTCTTGCTGGCCATGGTGGCACATGCCTGTTAATTCCAGCTACTCAGGCAGCTGAGGCAGGAGGAGCAGAAGTTCAAACCAGCCTAGGCAACTTGGCAAGACCCTGTCTCAAAATAAATCTTGAAAAATATGTATGTGTATAAAGGACTGGTATGTAGCTCAGTAGTAGAACATCCTCTATCATCTTTTTTTTTTTTTTTTTTTTTAACTTCCAGTGCTGATAATTGAACCCAGGGCACTCTACTGAGCTACATCCCAGCCCTTTATATTTTTATTTTATTTTGAGAGAGGGTCTTCCTGTATTGCCCAAACCGGCCTCAGACTCAATCCAGCCTCAGCTGCCCGAGGCTGAACCTGGCTGGAAAACACTTACAAAAAGAGCTTCATCATTTATAAAAGAGATACAATGACAATATGAAAACATGGCTGAGCAGGTAGAGTGCTCAAAAGTGATTGACATGTAATGTACAATTAAAAACATGAATGTTTCTCAGTGAATCTTCTGATAATCCAAGTAAAATACTAAAGGCAAATTTATTCATAAAAGCACTGCCAAACAGTGGCAGAAATCTAATTAAAAGAGAATCTCCAAAATTAGCAAAGGAGCGTGAGCATGTCTGCCTCTGGTAGTGCTACTCTGGAAGTGCTGGACTCTGGACGTCCCCGGGAAAGCCAGCACAAGTCAGGAGGCCAGGCTGCTGCTACCCAAAAGCAGGACTTGGTTCCTGAGCAGTATGACGATGTAAATCGTTGCTCCACATTTTTACTGGTGCACTGTAGTGGCACATAATGGTGGGATCTGCTGCTACAGATGCTTACATGCCCACAATGTAACAATATAATCTGGCTGATATCCCCCCCAGTATTTCCCCTCCCTCCCTCCCTCCCCCCTTTCCTCTATTGATGTCCCTTCAATTTTCATGAGACCAATCTCACCCCTTTCTTTCCCTTTTTCCTCTCTAGCTTCCACCTGTGGAAGAAAACATAGGACATTTGACCATCTGAGTTTGGCTTATCTCGTTTAACATAATGTTCTCAAATTCCATAAATTTTCCCACAAATGACATCATTTCATTTTTCTCTCTGACTGAATAAAACTCCATGTGTATAAGCCACATTTTCTTTATCCATTTATCCGTCAATGGACACCAGGCTGGTTCCATAATCTGGCTGTTGTGAACTGTGCTGCTAGAAACATGGGTGTGCAGTTGTCAGTGCAGCGAGAGGACTTGAATTCTTCAGGGTCAATGCGAGGAGTGGTACAGCTGGGTCACAGGGTGGTCCTCTTCCTGGTCTTTGAGGAGACTTCATACTGCTTTCCATAGTGGTTGGACTAATTAACCATCTCACCAATGGTGTGAAAGTGGAAAACAACTTCTTTTAACAGACATTCTGGCAAAGGAACGCTAACCAAAAGCCAGGGTGGTCAGAGTGCAGGTCCTGCCTGCCCACCCACTTCCCAGCTGTGACCTACCTGAGCGGAAACGTTCATCCCTGGAGGTGGTGGGCCGAGACCTCTGTGGCTGGAGTGCAGCAGTGGTCAGTGAAGGCCCAGGGACTCTGTTCTCTGATTGCAGACATGGGTCTACCCCTAAAACACAATTTTTGGAAATATCTTGTATAAACAATTTGCTTTTTCAGTTATGAAAGAAATTCCACTTGAAACAGCAAGTATTTGTTACACATGGCCAGCCCCCCTCCCCCCCCCCCCACACACACACACGCGTGGTGCTCAACCTGGTGTGGTATTTGATCAAAAAGAGCTGCTGACCTGGGATCAGAGTATGATGCAGTGCTCACTAGGACATTCATACTACCTCTCCCCTCCCCACCGGGCCAGGCCCCACCTCCCACTCTCCATCTGCAAGGGTGACAGTGACAACTCTCAGGCACCTGGACAGCACAGCACCAGCAGCTCAGGGCAGATGCATGGGCCTTGGGTCTCTCAGGCAGCAGTTTATCTACAGAGTGGCCCTGAAAAGCCCACCCCTGCAAGTGACTCTCCTAAATGTGCAAGACTTATGTCCCTTGTTCTCAGAGCACTGTCCATGGTATCAGAAAATCCCAGGTGAGAAACAGCCACCCACCACCAGGGGCCCAGCAGCCCTTAGCTACAAACAGAGAAAGTGGAACAGAGGAGGAAGAACAACAGAGCAGCACTGCCAGGAGAGGTACCCAGGGACGCAAGGCCAGTGCATGGGCCTAGCCTGCCACTTAACAGGGCCTCCGGCCTGTGGCTCCCACAGCCGGGCTCTGCACAACAGCAGGAAACAGGCCACCCTCTCCACATGCCTCACCAGCCCTGACCACAGCCACTGAGGGCGGTGAGCAGGGTACAGGTGCACAGGATCACCCTCCGTCTCATTGCTGCTTGAGTCCTGATGGTGGGTGTGACACTTGTTAACAGAGCAAAGCAAAACCAATAGTTGGGATTCAACAAAAATAATGTGTTCAACCTCAGGCCTCTCTTCCAAAATGTCTCATTAACTGACCAGCAGCATCCCGGCCCCCATGGCTCTTGACTACACTTTGACAAGACACAGAGTCTGCCCCTACTCAAACCTGGTCAGCAGCCACTGTGACAAGCAGGGTGGCAGAAGCAATGTCATGTGACTTCCAAAGCTGGTCATGGGAAGCAACACAGCCCTACCTGGCTCCACCAGGATTCCTGAAGTCCAGCACAGGGAGCCACATGCTGAGGAGCCATGCAGGAGTCTGTGGGCCCAACAGCCTTGCGGGGAGGCCAGTCTCATGCTCCCACTCTGGCTGGGCAGGTGGAGTGAGCACTCTCCGAGGTGACTGAGGCAGACCAGAGGCTGTAGAGGGGCTGCTCAAACACCAGCTATGGTGTTACATTGGAAATCATGCCAAGCTCCTCAGAGTCCGAGCACACGCGTGTCTACATGTGTGTTCATACATACATCAACAGCACAGAGCAGGACTCGTGCTGTGAACAGGGCGGGCTCTGGGACGATGGAGGGACCCAACGTAAAGTACAGACGTTGGACACCCTGGTGCTTATACTCCCAAACACAGCACTTCCAGCCTCCAGGATAGACTCATGTGTTTAAAAACATACAAACAAAACCCACTCTGAAACTACAGGATCAAAGAGAAGACCTGTTTTTAATTTTCACGGCCATCAAGAGGTCATCTGTCACAGTGACTTGCACTCCCACAGCGAGGTCTGAAAGTGCATTTCCCCTTGTCTTTGACAGCACCAGGCACCATAAGAGGTAAGATGTCTGGCCATTTGATGAGAGAGAGATGGCTCCCTTCAATCTGCATGCATGTCCATGTCCACGTCCACTTACGTACGAGGTGGACAAATCTTCATGTTCATTGCCTCCATTTCCTCCACTTTGAATGTCCATTCACTTTAATTGGCTGATGAGTCCTTCAGAAGGAAAGTGCACCCCCTGGCCTAGCACTCATCCCCAGCCCTTGGAAATGAGATATTTTTCAAACTTCAAAAGAGAAATACTGTTTGGAAGTTTGCTGGGGCCCCTTCGGCTGTGGCTCTCAACACTTCAGAAGGAAAGTGCACCCCCCTGGCCTAGCACTCATCCCCAGCCCTTTACTCTCCTCCTCCAGGCCTCCAGCCTTGCCTGCAAAGACAACCCCACTTGAAGGCTACTCTCACATACTCCTGGTGTTTGCAACTTTCATGGTTAAGAACGTTCAGAGCTTTGATTTTCTGAAGTCCATGCTCACTGATGGTGTTCTCCAGGGCAGGCCAACCACTGAGTAACCTTTGCTGGCACCCATGCACACACTGCAGACCTCTCGTGCACCCAGCCACTGTCCCCACCTGAGGTTACTAGGAAGGTTAGTGTCTCCAAAATCAGGCCTTCCTCACTAGCATTGTTTCAGAAATTGTACTGGCTACTCTCAGAACTCTTCTTTCTCCTTCTACAGATTATTGCTTCCAATTCCAACTTTAAGAAAAACACCATCCACTGATATTCAGACTGAACAGCAATATGCTCACACATTGATTTGGAAACTATCAGTTTAACAATACTGTTTTTCCACTAGAAAACTTTCATGTTTCTTCATATGATAGGATCTTGGTTATTTCTTCAAAATAGATTTTATAATTCTTTTTTTTAAAATATTTTCTTAGTTATATATAGATACAATATCTTTATTTTATTTATGTTTTAATGTGGTGCTAAGGATCAAACCCAGTGCCTTACATGTGCTAGGTAAGTGCTCTACCACTGAGCCACAACCCCAGGCCTAGATTTTATGATTCTAATGTAAATTTATTATTTCTTGCAAATCTATTAATAAGTATAAGACAATTTATTTTGTTGGGAATGAGATACTTTTCAAACTTCAAAAGAGAAATACTGTTTGAGAAAAGCCATTGATTCTTGCATGTCTGCAGCCTTTGTACCTATGAAACTGAAAACTCTAATAATAAGCAGTCACCTGGGTTTCCGAGTTATAAAATAGTCACCTACAAAGGGACAGCAGCCTTCTGCTCCACTGCTGTGGTCACCAAAGCAGCGTGGAGGGAGTGAGCTCTGCGAGTGTGTGTTCACCCCCAGGGTGGGAGCAGCAGGCCACGTGTGCAATCAGTGTGTATCTGCTGAGTTTTGGCAAACAGGCTTTAAGAGGTTTCAAAGTTTCCTTCAATTCCAATTTGACTCTGTTTGGGTTTTTTTGCATGAATACATATGTGGCATTTAAAGAGTCCCCTCACCACTCTTTTTGTTGATGTATTATAAAATATATCGTTCTGCATGATGCTCTGTGCCGGTCCTCACAGTCATCTGCCATGACCATCTCTCATTCTGCAGCCTGTCTTCTTCGTCTCTTGAGGGAGACACTGTCCATTTTAACATAGTCCAACTCTTCCACCTTCCCCCTTCTGGCTGCTGCTAGGGAGCGCCTGTGACATCAGAAGCCCCTCCACCTCCAGCAGCGACGACCTCCTCTAAGGCCTTCCACAGGCGGCACGGTATCTGAATCTGGCACTGGGCCTCACACATTTACACTGACCTGTGTGTCCAGTGTCGTACTTCACACAGGGACAGGCAGCTGTGTGGGCACCCAGCTGGGAGGCCACCTCTCCCATGGGCCAGGTCTGCAGCGTGAGCACCAGCATCTGGGCTGCCCCTGCCCACCACTGCAAAGTCCCACAGTGACCACAGCTTTACAACAGCTGTCCACATCTGGCAGGCAAACCCTCCTATGCTGTCCTTTTTGGAGCATATTTTAGAACCCTTCACCTACACGTGGATATGAATTTTGGAATTAGCCTGTGAAGTGCCACACAAAAGAAAACTCTTGAAATGTCAATGTAGCGTGGGAAGATGGTTTTATGACGTCCGCCCAGCACGAGTGAGAAAACTGTGCCTGGCCATCCCCAGGTAACAGCAAGTCCTACCTGGAAGGAGATCTGACCACATCAGGGCTGCCAATCACAGTCTGGGCCTCTGGATCCCACTATCTAATGTCAAACACATTACTTTTCCAGTCCTTTATAAAATATGTTTATATCCAAATCCAGTTTTCAAGCCAAGCTTAGTGAGCAGTATAATGCTGTAAAACGCCTATTGGTAGAGACCCTACCTTGGATGAGTGGAATGTAGCGAGCCAGGAGCTTGGCCCTTTTCTTCTCATACCCTTTTTGAGTGATGTCACCTAAAACAACAAGGGAAAAGATAATTACATTTCTTCTACACCTTAAAATTTTTTTACTAAAAATTAACATATAATTGAAAAACTGGACACCATGTTAGCATCTTCCAAGTGGGAGGGTGGCTCGGTCCACAGGTGGATCACTCAGCCAAAGGAGCAACACTGGTGGCACGCACAGCCACATGGACAGGCCTTGTGCTCAAAGGCTGCACACCAGCTACTCCACGCACATGGCCCTGGAAGGCCAAACCACAAGACTGGAGTAGACAGGGCTGCCAGTGCTCAGAGGGGGGAAGGACTTCATCAGAGGACAGGACAGCTGGGTGGTGGAATTGTCCTACAGCCCAACTGTGGTGGTGGTTACACAATTGTATGCATTTGTCAAAAACTCAGAACCATAAGCCAGAAAGGGCAAATTTTATTATAGGTAAACAATACTTGAATTTTTAAAAATTGTGAACAGCATCCCCTGGGAGCTAGTCAAAAATGCAGACTGGGGCCATACCCCAAACCGACAGCATCCCCTAAGACAATCACCAAACTCCTTACATAATTTTCGTGAATGTTCCAGTTTTAGAAGAATCAGAAAAAGGGGCCCACAGGACACGGACCTCCCCCGCCCAGGCCAAGCAGTGTCCCTGGGTGAGAGCCTGGGAAAAAGGACTGATGCTCCAATAAATTCCCACAGAGCAGAATAGGCTGAGAGCACATTAAGCCACCCAAGAGTGAGAGAGGTAACAGGTCTTCAAGGAAACCCAGTTTGTTTGTTTGTGGTGCTGGGGATCCAAACCAGGGCCTCATACATGTGAGGCGACACCCCAGCCCATGGGAACACTCTTGATCTAAGCTGCTATTTGGTTCCTACACAAAACTAGAAATGCTAACAGTGGATCTTCAATGTTTTTCTGTAGACTTTCTTTAGGCCAAAAATGCATATTATAACAAATTTACAACCAGCTTTAAGTACAACTGCATATTAGTACCACCTCCACTGCTACTATTCTTCAAATTTTTAGTGTTTGGTAAGCATTCCTCCACTTGCTTCCATCTACCGTCCCTCCCTAGATAACACGAGCAGTGAGGGTAGTCAGAAGACAGGGGCTGCTGTCATTCACTGAGTGCTTACCCAAGTATTTCCTTCAGATGAATTCTTGAATTTACCTTGACTATAGGGTTTGATTGCCCATATCTAAGTTGAGCCTCATTGGGAACTCTGGGTGCACATTAATATGCAGAAGAGGAGCCTGAGGCCATGGAAAGCCAGGACTGCGGCACAGCCCAGCAGCTGCTCAGGTTCAGGCTGGGCTGCCACACGCCCTTCCCACTAGGCAGCCCACCCTCCTCCAGAGCCCACTGAGGACAGCAGCCCACACAGCTGGGCCCTCCCCACAGCTCTCCTGTGTCTCCACTCTCCCTTGATGCACACCAAAAACGTTTAAGGCTCTTGGTTAATGCAGACAGGGATTCTGTTGGCTCAATACTATAAGAAAGGATAACAGAAAGATATACACATGGTTCTTTAAAATAGCCACAGTCGACATGCTCAAGAACTTAAACAAAAAACATTACCGAGATAAACTGAGGAAGACCTAAGGAAATGCACAGATATGCCACTTTCATGAATCTGAAAACTCAAAACTGCAAGGACACCATTTCTCTACCAAAGGATCTTCAATCAGTCCAATCAAAAGTCTTACAGGTTTTATTCATGAAAACGGACAAGCTATTCTGAAGTCTATGTGGAAACAGAGAGCCAAGGTTAGCTGCATCAAGCTTGAAGACATAAAAAAGGACAAACTTGCTGTCTATTTATGCAGTGGACTGATAAGCTACAGTTGAAATGGCAGCTGAGGAGACAGGAGGTGGGGGCAGATCCTGTCCCCAGCAGAGGGGAACTGCAGCTCCCTAAACCCAGGTCCTGGACGCACAAGGACAAAAATGAAGACTTCTCTCACTTCATTCACATAATTCAGCTCCAGATGGTCCAGAGAACAACAGCGCCTCTTAAAAAAAAACACACAGGAAGTGTCCTCCTGTCCTGGGGCAGGGAACCTCTTAAACAGGAGGCCCAGGCACCAACCTCACAGAAGGTGAAGACAGTAATTCAGAGCCTAAGGAGGAAGCAGAATAGTGAGAGAGATGCCTCCTTCTGCAGGACTGTGCAGACCAGGCGTGGGGGCTGGTGACCTTCCTGCTTATCTTAAGGGAAATCTATCCTCTCACAGTTCCAAGGTTCAGAAGTCTGAATTAAGTCTCACAGCAGGCCTAGCCTGGCTCAGTGCTCCAGGATAAACCACCCTGGGCTGCTCTGCTCTGGGGCTGCTGGCCTTCCTCCCGTGGCTTGCCAGTCCACTTACCTGCACACTCACAGGACCCTCTGCCTCCTTACCAAGCACACTGTGACAACACAAAGGATCTACCAGGAAATCTCAAGCAAGATCCCTAATCACAATCTGTAAAAATCCCTTCTAGAAATAAGGCAGCACTGATTCCAGTTTCCAGGGATGAGGACTTGCTACTTTTGTGGCCACCACTGTGAACACTGCAGTGGACAAACAATCTCTCTCTCACACACTCACAGTAGTTAAGGTGCCTGTGTTTCCTCAATCTGCCGCAGGTCAATGACTGTGGACTCAGCCTGGCCATTCTTTCCCAGTGACTTATATCATCTTGGTGCAGAGCAAAGCTACAAGTGCCACCTGGGGGCCAGGACCAGTTCTCCCAGGGAAGACCCCCATGCTGACCACTTCACACCAGTGATGGCCTCTGGGGGTCAATAGTGGCTCTCACAGTTCCTGCCCGTAGTGCTGCCTGCCTCTGTGCCTCCAGGACACCAGTGCCCACAAGGCCCATCAGTGATGCTGGGGCCTACTTGAAACTGCCCTTTCTCTATTTGTTTACAAAACAGTCCCAGCTACACAGGAGGCCGAGACAGGAGGATCAGTGAGCCCAGAGTCAGGGGCCCACAGGAGCAACACAGCAAGACCTCATCTCAAGCAAAACAAAAACACCCCTGGGGGAATACACCACAGTGGTCAGACAATGCCAGTGTCAGTCAGTCAGAATGGGCCAGAGCTAGTGTATCAACACAATCTGACCTTAAGAACATGTGTCCATAAGGCTTTAGACATGCAGACAGCACAACAGATTGTTTAAGCACATGTGGGAATTGGGGAGAAGCTGGGCAGGGAGGAGATGGAATCCGAAAGCTGTGCTTCAACTCTGTAACGGTCCTCTAAAAACAGATCTGAGCTGGGCGCAGTGATGCACACCTGTAATCCCAGCAGCTCGGGAGGCTGGCAAGTTCGAAGGCCAACCTCAGTAACTTAGGAAAACCCGCTCTCAAAATACAAATAAAATGGGCTAGAGATGTGGCTCAGTGGTTAAGCACCCCTGGTTTCAATCTCTAGTACCAAAAAAAAAAAAAAGAAAGAAAGAAAGAAAAAAGATCTGAAATTCATGTGGCAAAATCTTAATTTTTTTGAAAAGTTAGGTGGTAGATACATGGGTTTGTATACCATACACTTCATAAGTTTTCTGTATGTTTGAAATAGCTCACAATTAGAAGATAATTAAATATGAACCAGTCATTCATGTCCAACAGCTTCTGTTCCCCTTTCTCTCTCTTTAGTGCTGGGGGTTGAACCCAGAGCTTCACCCATGCTAAGGGCATGCTCTGCCACGGAGCCACATCCCCAGCCCAAAAGTTTCTAACATTCCGGGGTCAAGCTGACTTCCGTGGGCAGCTGGACTGCATCTTCTAAGGACCAGCAGCACCTGCTCAATGTGAAGGTTTGCAGTATTTCCTACAGTACTCATGAACTCATGTAAATTAACCCATTTAACTGGAGAAAGACCCTGAATGTGCACTTGGAACGTAAAGGCAGACAGAGAGTAGTGTCACAAAGAAGAGTAAACGGGGTTTTTCCATAAAATCACGGCTTTTCCCTGACAAGGCAGTTGTCAATTACACAGCTATGTTGTACACAGCTCCCTTTTAAAAGAGCAGGCATTAATGGAAAAATGGTTTTCAACATTGAGTAGCAAGCTGAAGTCACACTACAGCATCATCCTCCTGGACATTCCTCATCAGAACCTAGATACCTGGGCTGGGCATGGAGCTCAGTGGTAGAACACAGACCAGACGTGTACAAGGCCCTGGTTCAATTCCACAGTGTGCGCACGCGCACACACAAAACCCATTCCTAGAACTTGGGCCACTCCTGATACTGAAGGGCTCACATCACCCACTCTGACGTTCCCCAACCTGTTAGTGGCAGCGCTCATTCTAGTGAACACCTCAGAGGACTAAGAGCAGAAGAGCTGCCCACGAAGTAGCCTGTCCTGTGTGCCTGGTGGTACCTTCCAACAGGTGTCTGTCCTCAAGCCAGGAAAACCCCCACCCTGCTACCCACAATTCCACCCTAGGCTGAGCCCACTGGTTCTCTCTGCTGGCCAGACCGCACTCATGCTTAGGCCTGCCATTCTGACTTCCCAGGATCTAGGCTGCTGTCAGTTTATTTATTTACAGATTTTAAAAATCTCTTCAATCATTCAGTGAGATTTGGAGGACAGTCACCTTTACTGATGGGTGGTCAGAGAAATGACCAGGAAGCTCAAACTCCACAAATGTCTCCTCCTCCCAAAGCCCTCCCCGGCCTCAGCGCACAAGAGCCAGGCTGCACCCTGCCCCGTGTGGGTATGGCTTCCTGAGGTTCCTGATGCCTCCTAGCATGACTCAGTTCTTCCAAGGGGGAAGCTTGCATTCCGATGACTTCCACATCCCCCTCTAGCCAGCTTTCCAGGCACCTCTGCATCTCAGAGATGGGGCATACCTTCCTGGTGCTCTGTCTCTCTGGTGGCAGAAGCCCCACCTCCCAGTCACTCTTTCGGAAGCTCCAGGCACACAAACCCTGCTGGCTCCACTGTGAACACCTATCCACCCCAGTGGCTCAGCACTGTACAGTTGCAACACATTCTTTAAACCAACTCTTCTGTTCCCG